AGAGAGAGAGAGAGAGAGAGAGAGAGAGAGAGAGAGAGAGAAGAGATGAACATGTGTGTGTGTGACAGAGAGAGAGAGAGAAACAGATGAACATATGTGTGTGTGTGTGCATGTACTCCGTCATGTATGCAAAATCAGAAGACAAACTGTGGGAGTCAGTTCTCTCCTTCCACCATGGGGGTCCTGGGAATCAAGCCTGTATTGCCAGGTTTGGTGTGTGGCACTTTTACTCACTGACCCATCTTGCTGTCCTGGCAAACCTTTATTGGAACATATTTTTGTGCGTCCTGTCCTGGCAAACCTTTATTGGAACATATTTTTGTGCGTCCTGAATTCATGCCTAGGCATATAACTGCATCAAGACATTGTACATATATTTTCTTTCATAAGAAACCACAAAACTATTCTATGTCCTGGCCAACACGGCTCATATTTTTTTTCATTTTAGCCCTTGTTATGGGTTAAAGGTGGCTCCTTATTATGGGCTTGTTATTGGTGGAGTTTTTAGACAAGGTCTCACTTTGTAGCCCAGGCTAGCCCTGAACTTAAAGCATGCCTTCTGCCTCAGCCTACTAAGTATTTGGATTTGTCTTAGTTAGGGTTTCTATTGCTGTGATGAAACACCATAACCAAAAAAACAAGTTGGGGAGGAAAGGTTTTATTTGGCTTACACTTCCACATTGTAGTCCATTGTTGAAGGAAGTCAGGACAGAAATTCATGCAGGGCAGAAATCCAGAGGCAGGAGCTGATGCAGAGGCCATGGAGGGGTGCTGCTTACTGGCTTGCTCCTCACAACTTGTTCAGCCTGCTTTCTTACAGAACCCAAGACCACCTGCCCAGGGGTGGCACCACCCACAATGCATTGGGCCCTCCCCCATTAATCACTAATTAGGAAAATGCCCTACAAGCTTGCCTGTAACCCAATCTTGTGAAAGCGTTTTCTTAACTGAGGTTCCCTCCTCTGAGATGACTTTAGCTTGTGTCATGTTGACCTAAAACTAGCCAGTGCGGGATTACAAAAGTCAACCACCATGCCCATTTTCATTTTCATTTTGTCTGGTAACAAACACTATAAAGATCTCCTTCCAGGAAATGTTTGTTCAAATTCCTCCATTCTGTTTTCCATTCCCTTCCTTTCTCTCTTCCCCCATGTCCTTCCTTCTTCCCTTCTTTTGTTTTGTTTGTAATGGGTCTCATTACATAGTCCAGGCTGTTTACAAGCTTGTGATTCCCCTGCCTCAGCCTCCACAGTGCTGGGATTGCAGGCCTATGACAGCACATCTGGTCTATGCCACCACATCTGGCCTTGTTTCTATTTTTTGATAAACTATTTATTATTACATTGAACCATAAGAGTTCTTTTTACATTTTGGACAGAAGTATTATTCTTCTAGGTGTGAGAAACAAAATAGGATGGCCCATTTTCAATGTCTTAGATAAGTACAGGCTTTAGATACACCGGAGACAACCGGGCCCCCTGTCCCAGCAGCTGACTGTTGGATACCACACATTTAAATGAAAGGTTAATTAACGTCAGGTCAGGGAAATACTAAGCGCTGGCATTAAGGGTGGGGGTGGTTTAAGGCAGATGCTTAGTTGGTTATGTCCACAGGGGAACAATAGCACATCTCCAAGATCAAAACTCTGCTAAGCAGGATGTGGGCAATAACTTGGGGCAGGTGATGAGAAAGGAAGGAAGCAGAGGGGTGAATGAAACCTAGGTGACTGGGGGAAAGATAGTAACTCTACCAGTACCTAGCCAATGAGGAAGAAGGAGAAGGGATTTGTGCTTAGAAGTATAGGCATGACTGTTTTGGAATAGGTTAGATGTCTACCATTTTGTTTGGGTTGTTACCTGACCTGGAAAGCTCCCAAATAAACTGCCTCACTTTGACCACTCTGAGTCAGAAGGACTTGCTATTATTAAGTGGAGGGCCCTGTTCCCTATATATGCAATTGGCAGTGGGGAGTGACTTGATTTATCCTGGCCATGGAAATCAATAACACTAGCAATGATGAGAATCTGGTTGTCTCTAGCAGTTAATGTGAACTAACCTAGGCTTCACATGTGCCATATTGAGTTCATGTTCTGGTGTTGGTGTTTAGTGCATGCGTGCGTGCGTGCGTGCGTGCGTGCGTGCGTGCGTGCGTGCGTGCGTGCGCGTGCGCGTGTGTGTGTGTGTGTGTGTGTGTGTGTGTGTGACTTTTCTGCTGCTGTGATAAAACATCATGACCAAAAGCCACCCAAAGAATAAAGGGTTAATTTTAGCTGATGGTTCCAGGGGGATAGAGTCCGTCATGGTAGGAAAGGCATGGCAGCAGGGAGCTGACTGATCACATCTTCACACACACACAGGAAACAGAGCGAGAACAGGAAGTGCGGCCAAGCTAAAAGCCTGAAGCCCACCCCCAGTGACGTACTTCCCCAATGATAGCACCTTCGTAAGTCTCTTCACCTTCCCGAACAGCATCACCAACTGGAGACCAAGTGTTGAAATATATGAGCCTTTGGGGGTCATTTCTCAATCAAACTATTACAGAGTGGGAGGGAAGCAGGGCCGTGTAGAAGTGCTACGGTCTAGAAACTTCTTCCCTTTCTTTCAAATCTGACTTCTGCACATGGCGAGCAGGAACAAAGCAAAATTGAGAAGAAAGTAAAGAACATTCGAGGAAGTTATTAGCCACCTACAACTCCCACCAGGACCTAGATGAGGCCATTATAGTCTCCCAGGTAATGAATTAAACATCCCTTGACCCGAGCCAATAGTCGGCCTTTTAAGTCCTACTGAGTCCAGAAAACGAAGAATCTGGCTGACATCCGCAAATTGCTAAGACAGGAAACCTTGCCTCATTCCTTCACGGCCGCCCTCCTTAATCAAATAAGAGATGCGCTCATCGAAGGAGTCTGAAGATGCCACGGGTTGTGGGTCAGCAATTGTGGCCATTTATCCTCATCAAAGGGAGCAGCCCTGCTACCAACTAAATGAGTCCCAGCTCAGAGCAACAAGGAAGATGTCTGCCTCCTTTCCCAGCTTCTGGCTAAGGCTCATTGCACTCAGCAGAGCTATAAAAGACAGCAGGATGTAGAAACATCAGCCTTTGAGAAGAGGATTAACATATTCAGAGACCTGGAGTTTCGGCTAATTAAATTAATCCCCTGGATCAAGTTTGGATGGGAAGTGGGTGGAGAGGAAGTGTGGCTAGGTAAAGGTATTTTCAGACAACTGGAAACTCAAAAGGGGAAGAGTAGAGATTGGGACCCAACTGAGTCGTCTGGCTGTTTGTGCTGCCTGTTCCAGCCTCCTACCAAGGTGCCCAGCAGAGAAAATGAGGAAGAACGGTTTAAGAGGTCTTGATAGTGTTCCACAGGGAAGGGGGGGGGGTTGTCAACTCAAGGTCACTGTAGCACACCAGCAGCTCCTCGGTTATAAATCATTAAGTCTAAAGGGCCCAGTTGCCCTCCAGCGGGACTGCTGGTTACAGCCCTCCTCCAGATGTGATTGGTGCTGTTGCAAAACATTCCTGTGCTGCAGAGCTCAGGGGTCAGGGAGAAAATGCCAGAGCAGCCAGTGCCTGTGAAGAAGATCATTCAGTAAGATGTTTCGCAGTGGCTCATCTCGGAGACTTTGTTCTGACCTTGAACAGGTGTACATCTCAAAACTCCACCTACAACAAGAGCCACAGCCCGGGGGAGCTAACACAGTAGCTAAACTGCACCCACACAAAAAGTCACGCATGATAGTGTCCACCTGTTGCCTTCCTGGGGCTCACCAGCCCAGCTGTTCTTGCTGAATTGGTGAGCTCATCTGTCAGTGAGAGATCCTACTCAAAAGGTAAAATGGAGGATGATAGAGGAAGGCATCTGACTTAGACTTCTGGTCTCCACATGCATGTGCACAGATGTGTACATGCACTCATGTGCACACACACAAAAGCATGTACATACAACACATACAACAACAACAGGTAGTCTCACTACTTCAGGATACTCCAGAAAGCCTATAGATAAACTCATAATCCTTATAGATCTGAAATCCAAGGCGAATAAAGGTCACTGTTATGATTGTGATTATGAGCACCCCCAGGCTCGTGTGTTTGAAAACACGGTCCCCAGCTGGTGGTGCTGTATTGGAAGGTTCCAGAACCTTTGGAACTCTGATCTAGCCAGCAAAAATAAATTGCTGGGAGTTGGCCTTGGAGGTAATATCTGCATCTGGTTCCTGCCTGTGCTCTCTCTGCTTCTTTTTGGTTGCCATGGTGTAACTAAATGGCTCCAAGCTTCCCTTGCCATGGACCAAGGCATTCCAGCCCCCATGCCTTTCCCACCGCAATGGACTGAGCCTTCTGAAACTGTGAGCTAAAGGAAATCTCTCCTCCTTTAAATCGGACAAGAAAACTAACTAATACAGCTACGTGCTTGGCCCAAGATCACGTGGAAATGGAAAAATATAGACCTGAACATAGAATGCCAAGCTCAGAAGCCAGGAAGTATCAATTCCAAGGCTGGAGAGATGGCTCATTCATCAAAGCACTTACTGAATGCTGTGGT